GGCTTATGGTAGAGAAATGAACATTCAATTCACGGGCAACAGCTCTGGTGGACATTCCTGCAGTCAGCATGCCAATTGCACGCTCCCTCAAAACTTGCGACATCTGTGGCATTGTGCTGTGTGATAAAACTGCACATTTTAGAGTGGCCTTTTATTGTGGCCAGCCTAAGGCACGCCTGTGCAATAATCATGCTGTCTAATCAGCATCTTGATATGCCACACCTGTGAGGTGGATGGATTATCACGGCAAAGGAGAAGTGCTCACTAACACAGATTTAGACAGATTTGTGAACAATATTTGAGAGAAATAGGCCTTTTGTGTACATAGAAAAAGTAGCTCATGAAAAATGGGGGCAAAAACAAAAGTGTTGCATTTATAATTTTGTTCAGTGTAGTATGTTTTATCAATATGGTATATACTGAATTTCTCCTTTTTTAATAAAAAAAGAGTGGAAATAGAGTATTTAATAGGACTATAATTAAAATTGGATATGTTGTCCTCGCTTTGATCGGACAGACTGGTACGTCGACTGTGCACCTCATATTGTTACAGCACTCAAAACCATGACTCCCTTTACAGACTAAAGACACCTTTACTGATCAGCGGGTTTAATTTGGTTAAGGTTAGGTGTAACAGTGGACTTTGGGGAGAGGGACAAGTAATGTCTCCATAAAGCAGTATCCACTTCTGATTTAAATAAATATACACTGAATATGTTGTTGCTATTATTGTATATGCTGTTTTACAATGTACTACAATACACTGAGGTGCAAATAGCATCTGCCACTATTTATACTTACGTAGTTGCAAGAAAATACTGCTACTTTCACTTAGTGTAAAAAGCACCAAATGCTCTTTGCACTTTTGTAGTTTTGAAGTTTGTAAGATTTTTGCGTGTCAAAATACATTCCCTTAACCCAGTTTATTGTTCATTGACTACTATAAGTATGCAATTCATCGGTTTATTTCCCCCAGAAGTGTAAACACTGAGCCTCCCAGGCACCATCAAAACATTAAGAGCGGTATGTTCAGACCCATCAATCTCTTTCCAGCTCAACCAATAGTGCGAGTTTGGGGCGTGGCTACTGTAGCAGGCTCAGCCAGAGGGTGTTTAGCCAGTGTGGGACCATGGAAATTTAGTTACAGAAGCGCAAGCCAAAATTAGAAGACTTGCAAAATACACAGATGACAGACAACAGTGTAAAACAAGGTTAAACACTGGTGGTGCATTTACAACATGAAGGAATGTGATGGAACGTTTGGGTTTTGATCGGGATGCTGAAATTGCAGAGTTTCTTCTTGACAGGAAAGCTAAACTTAACTTTTTTTGCCACGCATTTTGGCTCTTTACTGTCAAGCCCCAGATAAAATCATAAGATATTGTAAAGACAAGAACAATCATTTGAGCTTGATGAGTGCAAGGAAAACTGCAAAGGAATGCCAGTAGCAGGGAAACTGCATACTTCATGTTTATTTCAATTTTACCACAATTGGACAAATTCAGAATAGCTCTGTTTGATCTTATGTTGAGGCTGAAAAGGGAAATGTGGATTGGGAATGAGGAACCAGGGAGCATAGAACAGTTTGAAAGAGAGAATGACAGTATGTGTGTGTGCGTATATTAGTACCTGATGTTGGTTGTGCAGTTTCTCTTGATTGCCAACCAGAACGCCTGACCTTTTCTTCTGTTGCAGTTGTTTCAGCTTGAAAAACTTAAAGAAAAACAGTGTAAGGATAGAAAAGAGAAGAGAACCAGCAGACATTTTCTTCTCCATATACAGATGCATGCAGTATGATGTAGATATAGTATTAAATCTTACATGACTCACAATACATGCAACCACACATGAACTATCTATAGGTTTCAAGCTATTTTCAGAAGTGAAGTGCCATATTTATTGAGACTTACTGAATCTGCACATACGTCACTTCCATCCTGGAGACGTTCTGAATTTCCCCATGATGCCGAACGTTTGTGAAATCCAACAGCCATTGTTTCAGCTCCAGCTAACCATGCGTGTGGTGTCTTTTACAAAAATATCAACCATTATAAAATCACATAAAACTACACTTCAGAATCTTTGTTTGAAGTTTATACAGCGACTTTGTTATATTTGGCCGGCTGATTTCTTAAGGGTTCACTGAATCATGTTTATTGATTTATTAGTCACCATTTATTCGAAACGTATTGTGCCAGGACTGAATATGTGCAACTTGAAAACAATTGCGATCTAGAGAAGAGAAATAGAATAGATGAACAGTTAATAATAATAAGACAATTTAACAAGTAAGTGGTAAAACAGTCTTAAGTCGATGATATAAAAGGAAGTGTCAAATTTTGGCTTAGATAATGAGGAACAGAAAACAGATGATATTTAAAAAATGAGAAAAGCTGATACACCCATTTCCCTTCACAGCTGAGCTGAGGGATAAAGTTCATAGTGATTGCTGTGATGTAACCTAGTTTGAGCAAATGATGATTTCAGAGGATAACACAGACCACATATTTTGGTATATACCATTGTACTGCATGGCCCCGGTTACACTGGTATTAACATCTGTCCTGAGTGAGCAGTGTCAGGGAACTTTACTTTTAAAAATAATGCATTACAATATTGCATTACTCCATAAAAAATAAAAATAACTAATTGCATTACCTAGTTACTCTTTATGGAAAGTAATGCATTATGTTACTTTTTGTCACACGGGCTGGGCTTGCTTATTTGTTTTTAATAAAAAAAATTAAAATATATATATTTTTGGCAACTGTAAACACCAAAAGAGAAAATTAATAAGCCTCAGGCTAAAGTAAATGTCTCTCCACCTCACTTCCAATTTCTCTCAACACGGGGACAGGAAAGGTGTCAGAATTACAGTAAATAAATGGGAAAACAAAGTAACTTGCATTACTTATTTGAAAAAATAACTCAGATATTTCTTTGTAAATTTAAAAGCAATGCGTTACTTTACTAGTTACTTGGGAAATGTTATCTGATTACATAACTCACGTTACCCCCCCCCCCAACACTGTGGGTGAGTCAGCTCAACTCAACTAATGGCTGAACAGTAATATGGGACTAGAATTTATTTTAAGATTATAATTTGATTCAGGCCCACATGATTTAGTCAGAGGATTGAATCCCTTCACCTGTGTGGATTTGTCTTCCCTGTCATGTCCGTCGCCCTCTTTGGGCCACTGGCCTTGCAGGTACGACCCTACAATCGCATCCAAAGATATTGTGCGCCGAATCTGAGTCTGCAAACGCCACTCTGCTTGGGTTCTATCACCTGAGGAAACAAGAAAGCTTAAAAACACCTGAAATCAAAGTGATCACAGCAAATTGCATGGACAGAAAACAAGTGCTCATTTCTTCATGTACTTCAATGGGGGGAAATGCTTTCATCCTATATCATCTTTTGTGTTATATTTACTATTCACTGGTTTAGATCATAAAAATGCTTCTATTAATTATTTATTATAAATTATATTATCATTAAAATAACAATTTGAGCTGTAAAGATTAGCATGATTTCCATAATGTCTTAGTATTTGGATTGTCTGTCCGGTAACACTGAAGCTGATATGAACAAAACCAGCTCTCTAGCATGACCTGAGATGTTTCAAAGAGCATCTTGTGCTTCAATGGATGCAAGAAAATCTGGAAGTTCACATGATCAGTGCCACAAATTGTATTATTTGATTAGTAAAATATCTTAAATATTCTTCTTCATTCTTCTCCATATGTCAAAAACTTTTCTGGTTATATAAATTATTGTGTACGTTTTCGTATTTAAATAAGACGCCATAGACAGCGTCTTTATTTCCAGCTTTAGAATCCCAGATGTTTAATGTAGTCCCCACTGTATATCGGACATACAGTATGCTACGTTAATGAATCCATTAATCTTATAAGTGTAACTTAAACGTTTAAAGTCAACATACAGCCAACGTTTATAATTAATATTATAATGATGATGAAGGCGATGATGAAGATGTGTTGCTTGCTATGCACCAGTAAATTCCAGAAGAAAACTGCAGGGTGGATAGATTAAATTCACTTAAATGTACATATATTCTAAGGTTAATTAAATAATTAATGCATAAATGAGTACACCCCCTGTAAAACTTAAATTCAGCAATTACACTTTACTTAGAAGACATGTTAGGGTTCGTTGGAGATATAATGTTCCAACAAGCCTGCTTGATCAATTACTAAAGAAGAATGCCAAAATTATTCAGCAAAATATCAAAGTAATACAATTTTGTGTTGCAAAAATGAGTACACCCTCCTGAAAGTTACTAAATTAAAAAAATTTAAAAAGTGTATAGGTTTAAGGCTATTTTTGATCAACAGGTAAGTATTTTGAACCAAAACTCACACAAAGAAACAAATTAAAGTATTAATGCAGTTGCAAAATTCACATGTATTTCCTGTTAATCTTCAAGAAAGACATTCAGTGGTTCAGATCATGTGTGATAGTTACTGATATGTATTAAATACTTCACCTGGAGTGATATTTGTGACGGCAGCTCCAGCTGCTTTGTGCAGCGCGAAGGGAACAGTAGCTTTGAGAGGCTGGAGACCTGATCCGTTCCTGGACATCTTCATCTCTTCACAAACTCTGGCGTATTAGCAGATTTTGTCCTCCTTTAACTGTCTATTTCCAGCTATATGTCCATTCTAAATGTTTCTCATCTAATTTATTAACTAGACCAATAACTAGAAGATATACTTAATTAATCGTATTCAACTATACGATTATAAAATGAAGAGAGTTATTTGCTGCTCAACACCGAGTAACGCTGGTTTCTGCCTCTCAAAACGCTCTGTGTGGGATCCTTCATTCATTTTAGGAAGTGGGCGGATACCTTTAGAATTTGCCTTTTGATTGGCTAAAAGAAACAGCTGCGTTACGGTAATTGGGTGATAAGACATCAATCCAGAAACGGTATAAACATTTTTGGCTTGATCTCTAAGAATTAAATGAACTGCTCATTTGCAGTTCATCTCTCTCTCTCTCTCAAAAATATTAAAGACATTGTTAAAAAAAAAATAAATAAATAAAAAAAAATGCACAACAGTACATGTACATCTCTCTCTTTCTCTCTCTCTCTCTCACACACACACACACACACACACACACACACAATAAATTCTAACTAGGAATAGAAATAATGAGACATTTTAGAGCCTTCAAAGAATGTTTTTGAGACTTTGATATAGAGTGATATAAAGTGATCCAATTTAATTTGATTAGTGATTAATTTTGAGTTTCACTTGAGGAAAACATGCTTTCATTGACCCCAACTTCATCCAACAGGAAGGGCTTTTCATTTGCCCTTTGCCTTTTGTAAACCTATCTTTTAGAATATAGTCATTTTGAAGGTCAAAAGTCATTCTTCAGCTTCACTCTGCTGCATGCTGTGAAATCAATCAAAGGTCACATCTTTTTGGCAAGCATATTTTGAACTAGCAGTCCCCATTTTGCATTTAGACACTTCCGTTAAGTTTTTTTACTGCAGCAGTCCAAAGTGAAAAAAATGTTTGACCTTTGACCCATAATTGACACTTGTTCTTTGTTTGACCCCTGGGTCATGGTGACCCTAAATTTAAGTCCATTTGTAATGAATTCCACATTGACATCTGGAGTAGGCTTGAATAATGTGTTCCGTCCATATGAGACTACAGGCCGTTATGCAGTTATGTGAGATTTTATATCATAGGCCTTTTTGACTTGGTCCCACCAAGCAACCACCAAGAACACCCTAACAACCACCTTTCAGTTCAATAAATGCATAACAGACTGAACAACTATGACTCACATTAGGACAAAAAAGGCAGTTTTATTGCGATTTAAGTGACAAATAGCATATGTTTCCCATGGCTTCTTAAATGACAAAATAATGTGCAATGAATGAAGTTATTTAATGCTAATTGAGGGTGAGCAGCTGTCTAAGACAACACAGACACACATTCTCAAACAAACAGACTTTCAATTACACTGACAATGGAGGGGGGAAATCTAGCTTATCAGTTTTATATGATATTTTTATATGATTCAAATAAATGCAAGGTTTCAAATCTTCTGCTAATATACTGAAAATGACAGTGGTCCACACACTGCAGACATATTGTAATGATGCAACAACAGATGACAAATACATGTCAAACATACAGAACAATACAACAGTATGCAGATATATACTGGTCCATTTGTTCACGTCCAGCACTGTCAGTCATTTAGCAATAGTATACTGCCATCATGTGCAGAATGATCCCATCTTAAAAGTTACTTCAAGAGGCAAGAAAAGAGGAATAAGGCAGCTATTCCAGAAATGTCTTTCATTTTATTACCTCTGTAATTGTACAGCAGACTGTAAAGACATACACATCTTCTTGTTTATCTTCTTAGTTCTTGCATGTTGTTTGGCAGAGGAGAGATGTTTAGATGGTTGAAATGTGAGAATTTAAAATATAAAGAGATGATAATGTCAAAATACTAATTTGTAACTATAATATGCTTTCTTTCACACATTTTCATGGTTAATTTCTGGCTGTAAGTGTCTGTATGGTTTTGTTTGTATGTATGTTCCCATAAGAGATTTTAAAGGGCAACAGAATGTGGGAAAGCTGTGTTGGGCTTTGAGACATGAAATTGTAATGAAAACTGGTTTCAGGTCTCAAGTCAGTCAGTGCATAGTCCACAGTTTGCCTTCACTGGTTACCACAACAAGCCAGGAGAAAGGTTTGAACAGCAAAGACATTCAGAGATACACTCATTTGAAAAGCTCTGACAGGATAAGTCTGTGAGGAACATATCTCTCACCATAACTAAAGAGGTCTGGCTATATCTTACCACTGATTCTTTTGTGAGAATTAGTGTAACAGGTGTTACACAGGCTGCAGCTGAGCCATAATATCATTGGATGTCTTAGCTGACAGTGCAGTTTCTCTCTGCTTGTATTGGTCTCATTTGGTGGTCCCTAGCTAGGGGTTAGAGCAGGACTGGGCTCTGCGCTGATGTTTACCAGGCACTCTGTCGACCTCAGGCTTGGCAGGGACTTACAGCTGGGTAAAGAGGACAGAGAACCACACAGGCCTAACATGGAGGGAGTGTATTCTTTTTCTGAAATGAAAATGGAAGAAATGGGAATTATTATTGAACACCAATAATAGCATTAGCAATAGAACAACAAACACCCAAAAAAATGAAAATTCTGACATCGTTTACTCTCCTTCATGTCATTACAAACCTCTATGCATTTCTTTCTTTTGCAGAACACAAAAGAAGGTCTTGTGAAGAATGCTGGTAACCAAACTATTTCAGTTACCATTGATTTCCATTATATGGAGAAAAAAAAATCCTACTGTGACATTTCTCAAAATATGTTCCATAGAGAAAAGAAAATCAAACAGGTTTGCAATGATGTGACATGTAAGCAAACTGTGATATAATTTTATTTTTTGGGGTGAACTAAGCCATTAAAGTCAACATGAAACAGCAATTGTCTTTCTCTAATGTGATGTACGTAAGAATGAATTGGCTGTGGGCAGGACTTGATTTTGCCCATTGGCAGTAAATTAGATCGTTGGATTGTTGTTGTTTTCTAATTGCTACTGTGAGTGACAGGTTGTTGGGGAGGAATTATTGTTCAGCCCTCACACCGATACACATGTCAACAGAGAGGAGAAGAGGGCTGCATCCAAAATTGCATACTTCCCTTCTATATAGTAGGCAAACAAGTATTTAAAAAAGTAGCATTTCAGAATTCAAAGAATTCATGAAGCAGTTGGCAAAAAGTAATTTACTACTTCCAGCGAGATTCTGAAGTGTGCATCAGATCAAAGACTATAGAATACCCAAGACGTGTCACTCGTATAGTTTTGAATGGAGAAAAATGCAACACTCAATATGGCCGCTCTATCGAACGAAGCCCCGCCTTCTGAGTAAAAGAGCCAATCGCAAATCGGTAAAGTCAGTGCCTCACTGCAGCTGCCGTTAGAAGTCCTGGTTGCTATAGAAACAATCAGCTTTCTGAGACGTGTGGTTAGGACTGCGCATGTGCACTGGCTGGTCTAGCCTGAAAAATAAGCTTTTTTAATGCTATTTGAGCAAAATAAACAACATTTATATACAGTTGTTATCAGATTTAATTGGTGATTTCAAATATGAAATTTAATCCTAAGCTTGGCGAACAGTTTTGGAGAATTTGATGTTTCCCCATTCAAAGAGATAGGAACTGCACGTG